TTTAGCATCAGGCACAAATTTCATTAAGAAATTAACTTGAAGCTGAGACACAGTCTATGGACTTGGCACCCCTCCCCTTTCCTTCATATACACAGTAAGTATCATAGATTGAAGCAAACTTAATGATGTCTAGGACATCTCTGTTGTGTTGTTCAATTGTCTCCAACTCTTTGTGACCCCATTTGGGATTTTCTTGGTAAACATACTGGTTTGCCATTTCCTTCTCCAGCTCATTTTACCAATTAGGAAACTGAGGCAAATAACATTAAGTGACTTGCCTAGAGTCACATAACTACTAAGTGTCTGAGGCCAGATTTGAACCGAGCTCTTCCTCACTTAAGGCCAGGCACTTCATCTACTGAGTAGAAAGAGAGATAGATCCAGAGCCCTAGGACATAGGTTCAAGTCCTGGTTCTATGACTTACTGTGACTTCAGTGACCTCAGGCAAGTCATTTACTGTGACCTCTCTGGACCTCAGTTTCCTCATCTATAAAAAGAGCTGAATGGACCGGATGTTCTCTGAATTCTCTTCTAGCTCTAACGTGTAACGTATATGTTTTAATACTTCAATGGTTCTAAGAAACCACAAATGTAGGAACTCCCTCCAGGCTATACATTCCAACCTAATTACATCTTCTCATCCTGTGAAAGGGCTTGAATGTAGGTCTCCTGGCTCTACAACTGGCCAAGAGGGCTAAAATGAATTAGAGCCAATTCTGCACATTTCATTTACTAGAACCAGTATAAAAGGCCTAGCCACTATACATGGCTACTTTTCTCATAAAGTATCAAAAAAACACTGATGTTAAAAGTGGTTTTTATTTTGTTTGGTTTTTTTAGGGAGGAAAGCTTGGAAATGCAAATCAAAAGAACTCTAAGATTTCATCTCATCCCCAGCAAATTGGCCTCTCCGGAAAAAAAGGGAAAAAAAGATGGAAATAGTATTGCGAGGTAGAGAAAAGATAAACACTCAATTATACTGTTGGTGGAATTGTGAAATGGTCCAACTGGGAAACAACTGAAGTGGCTAAAATGTCCTACCTTTTACCCAGAGATTCCACCAGTAGGCATAGAGCCCTAAGCAGGTCATTGTTAAGAAGAAGGTCTCCATAAAGACCAGAATATTTATAGCAGAACTTTTATGGTAGCAAAATACTAGAAACAAAATAGATGTCCATCCTTTAGGGAATGGATAAACAAGTTGTGGTACCAGAATGTAATGGAATTTTACTGTGCTATAAGAAATGGGGAACATTGAGGCAGCTAGGTGGCGCAGTGGATAGAGCACTGGCCCTGGAGTCAAGAGGACCTGAGTTCAAATCTGGTCTCAGACCAGACACTTGCCACGTCCTAGCTGTGTGACCCTGGGCAAGTCACTTAACCCCAATTGCCTCACCAAAAAAAAATGGGGTACATGACGAATATGGAGAAGCAGGAAAGACTAATGTGAACTGATATAAAGTAAAGTAAGCTAGAGCTAAGGAAATAATGTGCACAGTGAATACAACAATGGAAATAGAAAGTATAATTACCACAAAAGAATCAGAACTTTCTATTCTGAAACTATGAAGAACAGAGATAGTAACAGAAGAAACTTCCCTCTCGAACTTCTCATTTTCAGAGGTGGGAGTCTGTGGATGTGGAGCATTGCATATAAGTTTTTTTTTTATGTGTTGATCAGTTTGGCTGATTTTTTTCTCTTGTTTTTATTAATTTTTGTTATAAGGGATGGCTCTCTGTGAGAGGGGAAAGGAAGGAATATGGGGGGAAATCTGGATAATATAAAACCAAAAGATCAATGAAAATCTATTTTTCCTTTTAAAAAGTGACTAATGTGTCCATATCCTTTGATCTAGAGATCCACTGTTGGGCATATATCCCAAACAGATCAAAATTAGAAAGTCCTCATAAACACCAAATTAGTCATAGCAGCATTTTTGTAAGAGTAAAGAAGAAGCTGACAAGAAGGCTGGGAGGGAAGATGGAGGAGTAAAAGCAGTGACTTGCTTGAGCTCTCTCCCAAACCCCTCCAAATACTTGTAAAAAATGGCTCTCAAATTCTAAAGCAAAGTGCCCGTTGATTAGACAATGGCTCCGACAAACTGTGCAACATGAATGTATGTTTACCGTGCTGTAAGAAACAGTTAACTATGAAGTATTCAGGAAACATGAGAAGACACGGACTAAGGACAAGTGAAATAAATGTAACCAGGAAAACAATATGAAGAATGACTGCAACAAGGTAAATGGAAAAAACAGCACCAACATCCTGAATTCTATACAATTATAATGATCAAAGGTGGCTCCCAGGAAAGGGGGGGAAATTACTCCCATCTTCCCTCCTTTGCAAAGGTGCTAAGGGACTATGGGTGTGAAATAATCCATAGACTTTCAATCTATGAATTGTTTTGCTGAACTGATTTTTCTCCCTCTTTCTCTTTTTATTATTACAAGGGATGGCTCCCTGGGCAGGGGTAGGGGGTATGATATATTCGGTCATGAAGATGGCAGAAAAATATATCAATAAAAAAATTTTAAACCCTGGCCTAAAACTAAAAATACCATGACTATTATTACTATTAGTGTTGCCTCTAGAAATTTACTGTGCTAGAAAGTTTATCCAGTGATTTTATTAAATGGCTTAAGAATTAGGAAGGAAATGAGTATTTATAATATACTAGGTTTGGTGCTAAAGGCTTTAAAAATATTATCTCATTTGATCCTCACAACAGCCTTGTAATGTACATGCTAATGTTATGCCTGTTTTACAGTTGAAGAAATTGAGGCAAACAGAGGTGAATTGACTTGTTCTGGGTCATACAACTAATAAGAGCGTGAGGCCAGATTTGAACTCAAGTTTTCCTGACTTTAAGTCCATTGGTCTCTCCATTATACCACCTACTTGCAAGATGCAATTTGTTATATGAAATAATATATCGGGGGGGGGGAATCCCTTTAATAGATAGTTTAATAGACATATAGATATGAATATAATTATATAACAAGGAATCTAAAATGAACAAGAAACCCATAGTAACTTATTTGATACCTTAGGCCTAGATAAATGCCACACCTGTTTTAGCAGGGTGGCATTCATGTAGGAGATACATTTAATTGGTTCTAAGAATGGGACTTGTGGGAACAAGGATGAAATAATTCTTATCTAGAGCAGAGAGGTAGTGTAGCAAATAGAGTGCTATGCCTGTAGTCAAGAAGACCTAAGTTCAAATCCTCAGATACTTACTAGCTGTGTGACCCCTGTTTGCCTCAGTTTCTTCATCTATAAAATGATCTGGAGAGAAAAATGGCAAACCACTTCAGTATCTTTGCTGAGAAAACCCCAAATGGGGTCACAGCTGAAACAACTGAACAACAACAAAGAAAGCTTTCTAAAACTCTTTACATACATATCTTATTTGATCTATTCCACAATCCTGGGAACTTGTACTATTATTATCTCCATTTTACAGATGAAGAAACTGAGGCTGAAGGTGGTTAAGTGACTCACCTAAAGTCACTAAAGTAAGTTTCTTCAGCTGAATTTAAGTGTTGCCTGACTCCAAGTCCATCGTACTAACCATTCACTGCCACCTAGCTGTCCCATACTTACCATTTCATGTCTCACCTTTGTGAATTTGTGAAGACTGAACCAGTCTCATCTCCACTTTAAAAGTTATATGATGATGCCTCTTAAAAATAGAACCTGATATTTATATAGACTTCACAGCAATATGTAAATGACAGCTATTAGTAGCACTAAGAAGTATCATTTTGAGTACATAATTCGCTTATTTATTTACTCATCAACTATTTGTTAAGTCCTATTTCAAAGCACTATGTCAGAAGCCAAGGGAGAAACCAACAAATAAAAAATAATTTAGTCACGGTACCCGCCCACAATCTAGCTCACTATCTAGCACAGGCAGAATTCATCCTATCTGAGATTAGATTGGTGGCTCCTTATTCTGCTGAGAAGAAATGAAACTTCAGAGAAAAAAAAAGATCCAGTTACACCAATGAAAACCTTCTGTCTTTACTATGACCCCAAAAGATTTGTACTTCTAAAGAAAGGCTGGCCATTAAGCACGTATATGCTCATGTATATATTTACTTAGAAATATAACCACCTGACAGACAGGCAAGCAATAAGCTATTATTAAACATTTACAAAGTGCTAAGGCACATTGCTAAGTGCTAATGGGCACTGTGCTAAGTAAGTGACAGTGATAAAAATTAAGGAAAGAATCAATGAATGAAGCAAGAAGATGAGGGTTTTTTTCCTTTCCATTTATTAATCATCAATTCTCACAAAACAGTCCAAATCCCATCACTTCATAAAATCATCCAGTTATTACATACACAAAAAGAAGCAACTGAAACAAATATTGCTCCCCAAAAAGAAAACATGACCAAAAACCTTGATGTGAATTCTTTTAAGAAGACATTTAAAAGAGAGAATTAGTTAAATGGGAAAGTTACAAAATCTTAAATTTTCAGCTGATTTAGTGTTTTTAAAAATAATGGCAATTTTTAACAACATGGACAATAAATGTTGTCCCTACATGGAACTTAGGCATTATGCATAAACAATGAAGAGAACTAAATGTTATAATTACATGATGTAAATATGGTTATAGGTGAGATGAGATGTCCATTACTCTCACCTGGTTCTCTACAGTTAGTAAAAGTCCCATTTCTAAGCAATTCATGCCCTTGCCAGGATTTTTCTGGAGCTCTTAACTGGTTTATACATTATGTTCCATTTTGAAGCATATTTAGATGATGATTGCAAAATAATAAATTGAAACTCAAAAGAAATAGAGGATTTTAAAAGAATCCAGAAATCAACTTCATCCCAGTAATTTAATCTAGGGCTGGTAAAGAACATAGTGTGGTTGGAAATACGTATTCTTGCATTCAGGGAACATGTGAGTTTGAATTCTGAATCTATCACTCACTGGTGGGATGACCTTGGGCAAATTACTTAACTTCACTGGGACTCAGTTTCCTCATTTGTAAAATAAGGAGCTGAACTAGCTGGTCTCTGAAGTCCTTTTCAGCTTGGGATCTATAATCTTGTGACTGAGTCTATGAATGAGTCTAACTTCTCTGAGGTTCAGTTTTCTCATCTGTAAAATGAGGTGTTATAAAACCAACTGTTCCCCACTACCCCATAACTCATAGGGTGGCTATGAGGATACAATGGGATAATGGAGGTAAAATACTTTGCAAATCTTAAAGCCCTAGCTACCTAAATAAATGTAAGCTAATTACGATGCTAAATTCCAGGAAGAAGATGAATGGGTCTGGGGACAGAGATTGCAAGGGGAGCATTTTTCTAATTTACCTCAGAAGGAATAGATCCATTAAGGGGAGAAAGGGATTTGTTGCTCAGTCAATTAAAATGCTAGGAGGAAGTTCTGTGTATCATAAAGGGAGGTGAAGAACATGGTTTCTCTTTCCAAGTGGTAATGCCATGCAGACATATATCTATGCATCACCTCCTGAATAGCATTCCAGAAAGGATGCCCCATCCACTCCCTGAAAACCCTGCTCTGAGGGACATGTCTGAAGAGTCCCACTGATCTGCAACTGCTCATGTAGAGAAATGTTTGAGCTTCTGAGCAATGTAAGGGTGGTTCAACCATCCATCTCAGCTTAGACTATGGTATAGGGAAGGGGATTGTTTTTCCTCATTTTCCAAATATGTCAGGAGGGAATTCTGACTTCAAAGGAAGAACCGGACTTTATAGATGGCATGAACTCTTGTGATTCCTATAATTGTACACTTTTAATACAGGCGTACCTCACTTCAAGCATATCAGACACATGAAAATCCAAATCACTACTACCATTCTCCATTCATATTTACATAGTGTTTTAAAGTTCACAAAGTGCATTATCCACAACATCCCCTTGAAGTAGGTGGCACAGAGCCGGTGCAGCATAGCAGAAAGAGCCTGAGACTTGGAATTAGGAGATACAGGTTCCCTCTCACTCTGACACTGGCTGTATAACTATGGATAAGTGACTTCACCATTCTGAGCCTTAGCTTCCCCCTCTGTACAATGGGAATAAAAATATCTGCACTACCTATGTCATAGGATTACTGAAGAGAAGGCTTTTGGTTCACCTAAAAGTACTAAATGCATGGGACTTTGGCAATAGCCTTATGCTTACTTTACAGATAAAGAAACTGAGGCTTAAATGAAGAACCTAGCTCATGGTCATGGAGTTAGCAAGTACTGGAGCTGAGATCTGAACCTAGGTCTAGATTTCGAGACAGAAGGGAAGTTGGGAATCGTGTAGTTTGAGCTCCACATTTGACAGAGAAGTAAACTGGGATGGAGATGAAGGGACTTGCTCAAAGCCACCCAGGGAGTTGGTGTCAGGGAAAGGTCATAAAAGTTTTAAGTTCCATTATACCACACACGCTGCCTCTGCATTAAAGATAGGATTCACTACAGGATTTCTCTGGAGGAACAAGCAGTCTTATTATGCTTAAAATATAATTCAACTTATAAAAATTGGATTGACATTTGAAAGATATACATCTGTTACCTAAAGAGAGGTACGCCTGTACTGTTTTCTTGACCATTGTCACATTACTCAGAAAAGCTGCTTTTTACCAGTGCCAATGTCTGTCCTACCACAGTATCATTGTTTGTTCTTATTTCATTGCTCCTCATCAAAAAAAAACCTGAATAGACACTAAAAACGTAAGCCCCAAACTCCAATCATTTTAATCAATAACTCTTACCCGGTAAAAATACACAGCACAGTATTGCATTCAAAGGAAACAGAACAAGATGATTTGTTAGAGATAACATGAGTGCATGTACTGTTATTTTAAATGAGTTCTTCAAACTCCCCCTAGTGCTCTCATTCATTTTTCACTGTACAGTTAGGAACACCATAATCCACAGTCCTAGAAGGAGAAAAAACATAAAAATCACTAAGAGTACAGAATATTCACTTCCTTATTTCAAAGCTTCAGGGATTCATGAGGTCATTGGTGTGAGCATTCATTCCCTTTACAGATGTCAAACATGCTCCCTGCCCATGCCTAAGACACAGTTGTGTTCCCCCCTCCTTTAAAAAATCCTTCCCCATTATCTTCTTCTCACTTAGCTAGGCTAGTCCTTGCTTGACTAGCACAGACAGTCACCTGGTCCCTCAGACAACAAACAGCCCCACCACTGATGGGTCCCAACCCAAGCTTTTCTAGGATGGTGGAATCTATGAGAGTTAGCACTCTGCTGGCATATCCTTCAAGAACTCAGGGTCACCTCCATGTCACAATGGGACATCAGAGGAAAGCTTTAGGATATTTGCATGGGGGGAAAAGTATTTAATTAAACTGAATTCATTATCTGTTACACTGAAGGAATAACTGTAGGTCCCCTTTTCCCAGATTATTTTCCTCAATCTAAGACAACTTGCCTGGTTCAGAGATTTTGTGTGCAGCCAAAGACTTTCCTGTCTATGTGCAGCAGTCATGTGTCAGCAATAAGCAAAGGAATACTCCCAGGCTGCTGTCCAGTCCTTTCCCACGCCTTGTATTTTTCAGAAACAAAATAAGTGATCCTCATCCCACCTTCTCCTAGAATGTTCATTTTTCTCTCCCTACCAGTAGATCCTCAATTTGACTGAAGATTCCAAGTCAATTTGATTCAACAAATACTAATTAAGTTCTTGATATGTTCAAGGCACTGTTTACTAATTATTGAAAGACCAATCATTTTAGAGCTGGGATTTTGAGGTAACTTTATTTTATCTAATTTTTTTCTAAAAGTGTGACAAGGTGCCATGTGGCAAACTCTTCCTCTCCAACCCCCCACCCTGATTAGGTATACACCAAGCACAGAGCATTATGTGCCAACTTCATGAGTTATAACAGCAGGGTGTGGTGTAATTTGGCAAGTCTTAGTTACTTAACTTGGTAATTATAAGCTATGTTCTGTATAACTGCCTAATAAATCCCTGGATGGTTATTTTTGAAACCAAAGACAGAGTGACCCGGCATTTGTCCTTTAATCTTTCAAGTGGAACATTCTAAACAGGAAAGTTGCAGAACATGGAACTACCCTGCTGTCTCTGTACACCAAACTGATGGAAGCCATGTGCCCTATGTGGCAACTGAGGAAGTTAGCTAGACCTTCAATGACAATAGGGCTAGACATTCAGGAGTCAGATCAGAATTAAATATGAGATATATATTATCTATTTCATATTCCCAACACAGCCATCAGGTTTTATTCTATTTTTTGAAATACATTAAAACTATTACAACAATTTAATATTGATAGCAGAGCAACATCAAACTGTATGCTGTACTTAACCTGTGACCTTACTAGCTATTTGTCCTTGGGCAACTAATTCAATTTCTTTGGCCTTCAGTTTCTTCATTTGTGAAAAGAGATTAAATTTTTCTTTACGGTCTCTCTGGTTAGAATGCTCTATGATTCTAGCAATCTGGCATAATGTTTTCAAAGTTATGGTCTATGATGGCTGCTAGTGGCCCTCGTCTAAGCTCTAATCTACGATGGTTTATTGTGACCTTTATAGGATCATAGATTTACACTGGCTGTTCCCCATACCTGGAATGCTCTCTCTGTGCCCCTGGCTTCCCTGGATTTCTTCAAGTCTCACCTGAAATCCTACCTTCTGCAGGAAGACTTTTTAGATCCCCCTTAATGCTAGGGCCTTTCCTCTAAGATTACCTCCAATTTCTCCCGTACATTTCTTGTTTGCACTTAGACATTTGCATGTTGTCTCCCTTATTCAAATGTGAGCTTGTGAATGAAGGCAGAGATTGCTTTTGCTATTCTTTGTATCACCAGTGCTGAACACATGTTATTGTTGTTGTTTTTTTCCTGTCCCATTTACCTTTTTATGTCTCTGTTGAGTCTTGTATTTGAAGATCAAATTTTCTCTTGAGCTCTGGTCTTTTTATCAGGAAGGTTTGGAAGTCCCTTATTTCATTGGATGTCCATCTTCTCCCCTGAAAGATTATGCTCATTTTCTCTGGGTAGTGGATCCTTGTTTGTAATCCAAGCTCCTTTGCCTTCCAGAATATCTTATTCCATGCCCTACCATCTTTTAATGTAGAAGCTGCAAGGTCCTGTGTAATCCTGTGTTTCCATGATATTTAAAATGTTTCTTTCTGGCTGCTTGCAGTATTTTCTCTGATCTGGTAATTTTGGAATTTGGCTACTGTATTCCTTGGCATTTTCAATTTGGGATCTCTTTCGGGAGGTGATCAGTGGATTCTATGGCTATTTTACCCTCTTGTTCTAGGACCTCAGGGCAGTTTTCCTCGATGATGTCATGAAAGATGCTGTCCAGGCTCTTTTTTTCATTGTGGTTTTCAGGTAGACCAATAGTTTTTAAATTGTCTCTCCTGGATCTATTTTCCAAGTCAGTTGTTCTACCAATGAGGTATTTTATGTTTTCATCTATTTTTTCATTCTTTTGTTTCTGTTTGACTTATTCTCACTCTCTCACAGAGTCATTAGCTTCCACTTGCCCAATTCTAATTTTTAACAAATTGTCTTCTTCTATTAGATTTTGTACCTCCTTCTCCATTTGGCCAATTGTATTTTTTAGGGAATTGTTTTCTTCAGTGTACTTTTTTCCAATTGGCCAATTGTATTTTTTAAGGACTTGTTTTCTACAGTTAATTTTTGTCCTTCCTTTTCCAAGCTATTGACTCTCTCTTGCATACCTGTCATTTCTTTTCCCAATTTTTTTCTACCTCTCTTATCTGACTTTTAAAATCCTTCTTGAGCTCTTCTAAGAAGACTTTTGGGGCTTCAGACCAGTTCATATTCCCTTTTGAGGTGTCAGATGTGGGTTTGTTGACAATGTTGTCCTCTTCAGAATTTCTGCCTTGATCGTCACTATTCCCATAATAAAAATCTATAGTATGTTTCTTTTTGCTCATTGCGTTTGTTTATTTTCTGGCCTTTAAAAAGATTGAGCTCTCCTGCTGGGGAGCAGAGGGGCACTAACTCAAATTTCTTGTGTTGGGAGCCTGAGGCCTGGTCACTGGCTTTGTGTGCTGGGGCCTCCAATGCTGGCAGATGGTGACTGTAGGGTTCTGGCAGCTTACCTGGTATTGGGCTGGAATCAGCAACACTGGGACTCTAGGGGTAGGACTGTGTGGTCTGGCCCCTGGAGGTTGCCTGCTCATCTGGGCCTTTCCTTCGTTTTGCTTTCTTTGGCTCCTTTCAGATGGATGTTTTGCTGCTATGGGGTGTTTCTCCACCTGGGGGGGGCACCTTGGAGCACTTCCCAGAGTTTTGCTGAGGCACTGGGAGACTTGTTTGCTGTAGAATGTTGGGGCACGTGGTTCCTCTGCCCTTACTGAGGCACTCAGGGGTGCTGGTGTTGGTGTTTGCCTGCTCCACCACCTGGGTTTCAGGATTTCCTCCCGGTCTTTCCACTAGCTTGCTGGGATGCCTCCTGTTCTGTACTGCTCTCCTTCCCCCAGGGCAAGAGGGGCCTTTCCCTATGGTACCTGGGCTACCATACTGCTGTACCTCAACTTTCTGCTGGTTCAACTGTTCCAGGGTTTTTCCTGGGGCAATATTTTCTGGGCTTTCAGAGGTTAATGAGGGAGGGTAAGAATGACTTACTTCTTACTTCATCATCTTGGCTCCCAGAAGCGGAACTACCCCAGTGCTGCACAAAGAACCTAGCATATAGTAGGTGCTTACTAAACACTTGTTGACTTTAGTTGTCCTTAGGGGTCATCTCATCATTTTACAGGTGAGGACACTGAGGACTAGGGATGTTGAGGGATTTGCCCAAGGTCACACAGGGAATAAATGGCAGCACTGGGATAGAAATGGTCTTTGGACTCTAAATTCAGCAGTCTTTGTGCTGCCTGACTTTTTAAGGTGTGAAGGACAGTAGTATGCTGTGACCCTCACCCTTCTAAGTTACAAATTGTGATGTTTTCTAGTGGCCTTGCTTTTCCTACTTCTCTGTTACATATTTCAGGTAGTTAGGAATCTGAGCCAGACACAAGAGGTGGAAGAAGGGAAAACTGGAAAAAAAAATTACAGAATCCACTGTGTCAATGACAATTTTTAGCTTGAAAATTACTTGGGAATAGCCCATGTAATCTGTAACAATCCCTAACCTTTGAAAAGTTTAAATCTAGAAAAAGAGGGTCCAATCTGGTCTTTCTTATGTTCTCCATTAGTAGATACGTGTGAGTGGTAGATTAGGAATGGCAAAACTAAGGGGAACCAATTTTCTAGTTGAACTTAATGGTGGTTTGGTACACTTGCTCTATGTACTGTGGGTATTCAATAAATGCATTTTTAACTATCACGAAGGTGCCAAAATGGAGGTGAGAGGCTAGATTGTGCATTAAGGGCAGCTCAGGCAAAGGCATAGAGCTCATAAAGGAGTTCTATATTCAAGGAAAGTAAAACCTCTGCACCTAACTGAAAGAGGTGTGATTAACACATGTAGGGGAATGAGATCAGCAAGGAGCTTAAACTAAGGTGCACCTACCTTAGTGCTCATCAAAATGATCACATACATCTAAAAGGATGAAAAAAAATCACTATCGTAACTATAATGTTTATTTTTTTCTGATTCAATTTAAATGTATTTAGTGCCTATTATGTACAAGGCCTCCCTTGCTCAGTGTTGAAGGTACAAGATATAAAAGGAATTTACAATCTAATAAGGAAACTATAACTTTTGTGCTTCCTGCCACTGAAGGGCTTTTATGATACTCCAATCCTAACTTTTTTCCTATGCTGTGAGATCCTTTACCACTTTCCTCCACAGCTCCTCTTCCTCCTCATTCCATTAAGTGTGGGCAGACCCCAAAGTTCCATCCACAGTCACCTTTTTTTCTCTCTACAGTCTCTCCATTGACAACCTAATCAAACTCCTGGGACATTAATTAACTTCTCTATACAAATGATTCCAAAATTAATATTTCCAAACTCAACCTTTCTATTTCCATGCCTTCAATTTCCTGGATGTCTCACTGATATATTAAAGTCAATTTGTTTAAAACTAGAATCATTATATTCCCTACAAAACTGCCATCCACCCAATTTCTCTATTTCTGTTCCAGATCTGGAACTCAAAAGCAAGTTGCAGAAGTAATCATCCCTTTGCATTCTTTGTCCAAGAATATTAACCAATTTTGGAGTACAAGGAGTTGTCAAGATGGAAACTCCTGAACACATTTCTACTTCAGAGGGTTTTTACTGAAGATTTTTCCCCTTCAACTTGAAGGATATTATTCTTTATACTAATCTTCTCCAGCAGTATGATTTCTTAGCAGAATGGGGAGAGGGGAGAGAACAGGAGTGAAAGGAACAAGCATTTATATAGCATCCACCATGTTTCAGGTACTGTGCTAACTGCTTTACAAATTTTAACTCATTTGATCCTCAGAACAACACTGTGAGGTAAGTGTTATTATTATATCCATTTTCCGGTTGAGGAAAGACAATGGCTAAGTGATTTGCCCAGGTACCTGAAGCTGGAGTTAGACTGAGGTCTTCCTGATTCCAGGTCAAGTTCTCTCTCCCTGCGCTACCTAGCTATCAGCAAAAAAGCATCTGGTTCTAATTCTTCCTTACCTCTTACCTGAAGTCTTTAAGTATCTTCCTAACTGGTCTCTTTGTTTCTTTGTCTCCTGTCTTCCTTCCCCAATATAATCTTCATATCATCATCAAATTAATATTCCTAAAATTCATGTCTGATTACATCCATCATCTGCTCAAAAACTTTTAGGAACTTCTCATTTTTTTACCAAAAAACTATAAACTCTTTAGTTGGACCCTGAAAGCCTTTCATGATTTGACTACAGCCCTCTCTTCCAATATTCTATTTCACACATGCTGTTCTCCAATCAAACCAGACCACTTGCCCAAGACCCAATCTTGTACTGCATTTTCTCACTTTTGTGACTTTGGACTTCCTGCCCTTATGCATGACAAATCCACCTGCTGAAATGTTCCTTTTGGGCCCACATGAGAGTCTATCTCCTCCATTAGGCCTTCCCTGATTCCCAACCATCCCCAAGTCATAAGCACCTGTCCCTTGTCATCTCTGACACTACTCTGGACCATTCCTATGGACCTATCAAATTCTAACTTATGTTATAGTTATCTATGCATTTGTCTCGATATACTTGATTATAAACTCCTTGAGAGTGGGGACTGTGTATTGTATCTCTGAATTCCCAGTGCCCATAGAGAACATATTAATAGATATTCAATGAAATGAATAAAATTTCTAAAGTAATGAATTTCTCACTGTCATTTTGAAGCTGAGAAAATGAAATACAATAACGATAAGGCCACTATTGCCACATGCAAGCACACCACATGGATCTTTAGTTGGATCTGCAGAAACAATACATTAAGGGGGAATACTATGGAAGATAATGTTCCATATTGACTCTATTATAAATAGAAGATGCATTCTTAGGAGATCAAAATTCAGACTATAAAAGATTAAAATTGCTCTTTATAGAGACCTGAGACAATGATAGGAAATCTGTTGGATTAGGGTGGTTAGGGCTGCTTGAACATGCTAATGAGCCAAGTAGTTGAAATCTGACACTCTAACTCATAAGAAGGACCCCAGAGCTTTGTGGCTGGTCTGATAATTACAGATTTCCTCTGGATAGTGAAAGATGAAGAAAAATCAATGGTAAGTATACAAAGAATCAGTTAGCTGAGGATGACTAACTCAAGAATGAAACATAGATGGAAATGGAACCCTCATCCTCTTTAAAAGACTAAAGGAGTAGGACAACCAATGGAACTGTAACTTTATCTGGGCAGAAGTTGAGGTATCATTAGAAATGTTTCAGAAGCAGTCAACACCAAGGCCAGCACCAAGACCTGCTGCTGTGGCAGTTAATAACAAGTAGCTAGCTGGTTCGGCACAAATGTTGGATATATAACTGCGAGAGTTGGGCTGCATTTGTACCACCATTGTGAACTCACAACTTATAGAATCACAGAATTTTAGGTTTGAAAGGCATCTCAGCAGACCAGAAGGAAACCTCATTTTAACATCTTGTGTAAAAGCTCCTCCAGATTCTGTTTGAAGACTTCCAAAGGAGGAGGAACCCACCACCTCTCTGGACAGCCTATTGAACATTTGGATAGCTCTGATTGTTAGGCAGTTTAAGAAACCTAAATTTTCCTTTTTGCAACTTCCACCCATTGTTCCTGGTTCTGCCTTCTGACTAAACAGAACATGTCTATACATTGCACCACCTAGCTGTCCTCCATATGACAGTCTTTTCTTCTTCAAGCTAACCTTGCCCAATTCCTTCAGCTGATTATCATATGACATAAACTAGAGGCTTTGAACCATCTTGGTTGCTCTCCTCTGGGTACTCCCCAGCTTATCAATATCCTTCTTAAGCTGTGGCATCTACAAGTCCATTTGGACTACCGCAGATGAAGTCTGACAATGGCAGAGTACAATGAAATTATCAACTCCCTATTCCTAAGAGCTATGCCTCTCTTAATGCAGCCCAAACTCATTAGATTTTTTTGACTGCCACGTGACACTTCAGACTCATAATGAGCTTGCAGTCCACAACCCCCTCAAAAAATATTTTTCAGAATAACTGTTCTCTAACCATGCTACTCCCACCCTATACTTGTAAAGTTGAACTTTTGCACCCAAATTTAAAGCATCATATCATATCTCTACTGAATTTCATTTTATTTTATTCAGTCCAATGCTCTAGCCTATCAAAATCTTTTTGAATCTTAACTCTATCATCCAGCTATCCCTCTTTATTTTGTGTCAACAGCAAATCAGATGAGAATGCCATCTATACCTTTATCCGAGTCACTGATAAAATGTTAAACAATATGGGCCATGCACAAATCCCCAGAGTATACCCATAGAGATTCCCTGCCACACTGACATTGAACCACTAACAACTACTCTTTAAGTCTGGCCATCCAAACAGTTCTGAAACCTTCTAACTGTATAATAGTCTAATTTTCATCTCTTCATCTTTTCCACAAGACTAGCATAAGACATTTTTACAAAAGTCTTGCTAGAAAACAGGCAAACTACATTTCTAGCATTCTCAACAGACTATTTGAATAAGAAAGGCTGCCAGTAGTGCCAGCAGGTTTAACTAAACTGATTGAATTTTAAGCTTTATACAGTTTGGATTGCTCACAAGGCAAGAGTCATACCTGGATGAGCATCCTAGACATAGGAAAGGCACACTATCTTAATTACTCAAGAACTTTCACATGCCATTATTACCAAGGAAATATAAGGAAGAGGAAGGGCTACTACCACAGACAATATGTTTAACTAGACTGGTCAATTTTTGAACCTTTAAGAGGTCTAGGTTGCTCATAGAGCAAAAGTGAGACCCAAATAAATCTCCAAGGTGTGGAAAGTCAATCAACAAGCATTTATTAAGTGCTTACTGTGTGCTGGGCACTGTGTTATGAGCAGGGGCAACCAATTTTATTTTTAGACAACTCTAATTGTTAGGAAGTTTTACTCAGAAAAAGTCTAAGTCTGCTTCTCTAACTTCCACCCTTTGTTCCTATTTCTGACCTCTGGGGTCAAGAAAAACACACCTAATCCCCCTTGCCTATGACAGCCCTTCCAATACTTAAAGATAGCTGTGGAGTTCCTGATAAGTCTTCTCTTTTCCAAGTGAAAATCTCCATCCAGTTCCTTCAACAGATTCTCCTGCAGCATGTTCCTCATGTGGCATGATCTCTAGTCCCCTCTTGCCTCTGGGTGCACTTCTCTTGACATATTTCCTATGTTTATATTAAAATGTGGTACCCAAAACTTGGCACTGTCCTCCAGATGTGGTCTGATCAGCATAGTGTACAGCAGGACTATTATGTGGTTTATTCTGGTTACTACATCCTAATGCAGCCTAAGATTGCATCAGGGTGTTGGAGTTTGGGGCAGCCAAATCACATTGCTGACTCATGAATCGGGTAGCCCACTCAAATCCCACAAGCTGTTGTTCAGCTTCACTTCTCCATCCTGTGCATTTGCAGCTGATTCCTTAGACCTAAGGAAAAGACTTTACATGTATCCCAATAAAACTTCAACTTGTTAGATTTGTTCCATAATTTTAACCTTTCCTTTTGGACCCTGACCTTCCATCATGTTAGCTGTCTCTCCCAGCTCTGGGTCATCTACAGATCTGACAAGAATGTCATCTCTGCTCTAATTCAAATCCTTGATAAAAATTTTGAAGAGCACAGAGTCATAGCCCAGTGTCACATCCTCTAGAGCACTTTCCCTTACTCCTTTGTCTTATTCCTGAGTAAATGGAATCCTTTATTCCTTGAATGTCTCTGGCCACTGTTTGATCTCTCCTAAGCCTCTAATCATATTGTAACCAATAGTATAATAATGTGTATACTTACCTTATTACTAGACAAAAACTCCTTAAGGGTAGAGACTAACCCTTAGTTATCCTTGTATCTTCCCTCCCCTACAGTGTGCAACATATTGCCTTGTGCATCATAGTACTTAATATTCATTCTCTCATTGAATTGAAGGGAATTTAACTGAATCTCTTTGCAATGACATTTCATTAACTGAAATCTCTGGTTTCTGTTGAACAGCAAAGTACAGATCAAAAAGACAGTGGTCCAAGGTTGGAAGAATAAATACTTTTCAAATGTCAATGTTGAAAGACAAAGGAGAAATCTTGTTAGGCTAACTGTGAATAATAAGTATCATACCAAAGAAAGAAAGGTCATCATCCTTATTTCCTCTTCACTTTCTCTCTATAATAGGCTTCATAAATTTATAAATTTTGCTTTGATATTAGGCAACCAACATTAAGCCAGTAAATAGATAAAAAAGATCACTTAAGCTGCTTACCTATACAAGTGACAATAACTTAAAAATGTCTGCGCTCAAAAGGTTTGTGTAGGGGGGAACGCCTCAAACAGGGGGTCCTTCTTCCAAAGATGTCTTCAACTTCAGATTCAGTTACTCCCTACAAAAAGAATACAGAAGCTGGCTAGCCCCATCATTCATTCACACAAATATTATCAACATAGATGTCTCAAAAAAAAAACCATGAACTGTACAGAGAAGAAATAAAATAATGCACTGTCATGGGTGTGGAGTAATGAACCTGTCCCTATCGTCATCTGTTCTATATGGATTACTGAGTGTCAGTTTCTTTATATGTAAAACTAGATGGTTTTAAGGTCCCTTCCAGTCAATGTATTAGACTTAAAGGCAGAAAAGATCTGGGTTCAAATTCTATCTCTCACCCTTATTAACTTTGGGCAAGTCATCTAAATTCTCTAAGCCTGTTTGCCCAACTGTAGGAATAATTTGAGAGTAATAATATTTACACTAACTACCTCACAGAGACGTCAAGAGGGAAAGGATCTGTAAACTTTAAAGCATTTACATAGATGCACATTGTTATTATTCCAGTTCTAGATCCAATCATCTAACTCTAGGACCCAGGAACCAATCACTAAGAAGTTGAAGCATTTGTGAGAGACAGGGAGCTACCAGCTGGATTTCTTCTGGCCCATACATGCCTAAAAATATCTGAGATTCAACACCAAAGAGACAAGTAATGGAAGCCTATGACTAGGAAGAAAGGAACATGACACACAGTGAGCAGATGAGAGAAAGTAGGAATGAGACTGAATGCTTTCTCTTGGACCTTAGACTCAAGATAATATGAATATAATGAAGTTTTTCAAGGAATTTTCTTCTGAGAAAAGAGAGAATGAAAAAATAAAAATGGTGGTGGGAAAGAATAAAGTACAGGTACATATATATATAAGAATACTAATATTGGGGGATCAGAATTCTAACATCTCTAATGATAGAAATAGATTGCTTTTTCCCATTTTGTATAAACACAATCCTTTAGATATTATTTCATTAACTATATGTAATACATACATATAATACATATAAATACATATATATAGCCACTATTTGCTTTTGATTGGCTTTTTTAATGCATTTCTCTCACTAGAATAAAATGCAGCCTTAATGTCTCCCTCACATACAATAAAATCATAAAAGATTTTATGACAGATTCAATTATGAAAACAACTTTGTTTAATGATTTGCTGGATACTGACATTAAGAAACAGGAAGATGCATGTTCACTTCAAGTATTTGCCTGTGTCACAGATGTGCTGCCCAAAGTCAAAACAAAAGAAGAATTCCCTACATATGGTAAAGTTCTCCAAATGTTATTAACCATAGATGACATCGTTTTAATCACATTGAACTCCAGAACAAGAGAAAACTTCCTTAGTGAAATGCACAGTATTGCAATCCAGATTGGTCTAAATATGCACATAAAAAAAAACAAAGTAGATAGGAAATGTATATTGTCCAGACTATGACAGGCAGCCCATTAAATTTGTCCATTTGTATTTATCCCTTGGACAAGTACAATGGGTAGACAATTATCTAGGCCCAAAATTGTGGAACAGGATGAGATTAGGTTGAATTGCACTTGAAAGACTATGTTGTGCTTTCAGTTATTCCAAACTCTGTATTGCCACAAAGGCCAACTTCTTTAAGATCAGTATTTTCTCAATGATAACATATGTCTGTGAATCAGAAAACACCATGATCTGAGAAGAATCCCAATGAAAAATTATCCAAAAGGCAATGGAAAAGACACAATGGGTTTAAGAAGGCCTATTACCAGTGATGACTTGTACATGGAAAAATAAAATAAGAGACATCAAGACATGTATGACCAGAAAAAGAGGCAACCAAGTCATGAAGCAAAAATAAAAAACAATAGCTAGACAGCCTGAGTGTTGCATTGGCCCCATTCTACCTCTAAGATAGTGAAAAGAGAAATGAACAGTTAAAATTCCACGGTGTCAAAATCCTTTATGAAGGATTTATAGGAAAAAAACATGGAAAATAATTGCATAGGATGAGAAGATATGAAGGAATTCATTCTATATGAGTGTAAGGAGTACCTGCACCAATGAACAAAGGAACAAGTTCATTTAAAATGTTCACTTGATAAGACTGTCACTCCTAAGGTGAATCAACAAGTACAAAAGTCAGAGGACAAATTTAACTAGATCATTACGTTATGTTCAGGTTGCACTAACTGCCATCAATAACTCACTTGCTTGCTTTTGAGATTGTGAAAGGTCACTTGAATACTTACTGTCTCAGCAAAAGGAGGAGTATCAGGAGTTTCTGTCCACAGGTATAAACATCATCTTATGATAAGTCAAGTGGCAAAAAATGTCTCCATGAATCTAACTCTTAAGAATTCTATCATTCTCTCATTTTTGTTTTCACTAGTTGTGCCTCTTCATGGATGGCAAAAACAAATCTGTTCTACCTCACACTGTGATCTTTGGCCCTTGAATGAAGGCCAAATGGGCCATGGCCAAGTAGACAAATTATAATCCTATGTCAATCTTAAAGAAAGGACTTTAAGGTGATACAGGTTTAACTGACACAAAAACATAAGACCAGCAAGACTCAATAACTAATAGATAATTGATCGAAGGATGTTAACAGAGTTTCACAAGATCATAAACTTAGAGCTAAAAGGAAACTCAGAGTCCACTGAATCCAAACCTCTCATTTTATAAATAAAAAAACTGAATTGATTTATTCACATACAGGGAATAATTTTCAGAAGAAAAATGCACAGGATCAACAACCATGTGAAAAATGCTTCAAATCATTAAGAATAAGAAAAATGCACATTAAACCAGCTTTGAAGTTTCACTTCAAATCCATCAAATGGGCAAAGACAATAAAAGACAGAAATGGTCAATAATGGATAGACGATAGGAACCAAAGTACACTGGTAGGTACTCTGAGTGAAACTATGAATTCATTCAACTGTTCCAGAAAAAGATCTGGCATTATGAAAGAAAAGCCATGTCAAGAAAAGACTGTGATGTTAAAAAAAAAGCAGCATTAAAAAAGGCAAAAATGAAATCAACACAGAGACCTGTGATCACAGGAGTCAGTTATCTCAGAAAAGCCTATTGTTCTTTTGTCAACAACTATCTAGTTTTAACTGACCAGGTAGAGTCGTTGTCGGGCTTTTTGAGAGGTCAGATGATCCCATACCCTTTCGTGAATCTTCTCCCAAGTGAAGTGAGGGCTGCAGCACCTGTCAAATAGATTAAATCATCAAATTCCAGATCTTTTCCATAAAAGAGCTCCACATTCTCTGTCAGAGACATGTGGCAGCCTTAACCAGGACCCTAGATATTTTAATTCAGCCAATAAATAAAATTGAGGAAGAGATGAACCCAAAACTCTAAAGCATGACTGTGAATATATAGCACATTTCCCAAAAGTCATCATTATTTTCCATGTAATGGAAATCACAGTCAGTGTTCTCTAAGGCTACCTAAAGAATAAGCACTGAAAATATTTAAGTAATTTATTCAGTTCCTACATTCATGGTAGGTCAATGGGCTAAGGGATGAGGCTGATAAAACCAAAACTGCAGGTTTAACCCCTTGAAGCTTTGTTCACAGACTGCACCCCTAAGCCCAGCTAGTCACTTGGCAAATGTTGATACTGTTAAGCTACTCCTTCACAAGATATTCTCTCCTCCCTTGACTCCCATGACACTCTCTTAAGTTTCCCTCCTATCCTTTGGACCATTTCTTCTCTATCTCCTTTCTTATATCATCATCTATCTCCTACCCTCTGAAGGTATCCACCAAAGCTTTGTCCATGGGTGCCTTTCATTCCTCTCTCTATACTTTCTCCTTGGTGATCTCATCTGCTCCCTTGGGGTTAGTTAATCCCCTCTATATAGATGAGTCCCAAATTTATATATTCCTTTCTAATCTCTCTCCTGAACTCCAGTACCATATCTCAAACTGCAAGATATTTTCACATGAATTTCCCACTGGTACCTCAAATCCAACATGTTCAAAACTGAATTCATCATCATCCCCACTTAAACTAAAAAATATTTAAACTAAATCCACCTCTGAATTTCTATATTGTTGTCAGTATCACCATCCTCCCAAACACATGGGGTTTGAAACTCTCTCTAATTAATACCACCCATATCCAAACAGTTGCCAAATCTTGTCAGTTCTAGATCTACACCATGTCTTGTATATACAGAACCTTCTCTCTGTTCACTAGAAGGGTAAAAAAAAAAACACTAAAATTTTAAATAGTTCACTTGTGAAAAGCACATTTTTGTTCATCACTCCCTAGTTCATCTTGTCATCACCTCTTCCTTAAATAATAGTCTCCTATCCAGTCTCCCTTCTTGCATTTTATCCTATCTACCTACTTCACAGTTGCCAAAATAATCTTACCAAGGCATAAATATAACCATGCTACTACCCTTCAGAAACCTTCAGTAGATCACCATTATCTGCCAGATGAAGTCCAGACTCCTTACCATTACACTCACTCAATTTGGCTGAACCCCACATTTCCAATATTAACTCTGTTCACCTTCCAAATTAATCTGTTCATTGTTTCCTACACATACATTGTAGCTTTTTACTTCTGCATTTTTGTTCATATCATTGCCTTTTTGCCTCTTCTCGCTTTCTGCCTAACAAAATCTTACCTACATCCTGCAATGCCCAGCTAAAATGCCTACCTCCATGAAGCCTTTCCACATCACCCTAGCTGAAAGTAACCTCTCCTTTCTACAAACACTTAAAGCAATCTTGGTGCAATTTAAATGTCAACTTAGCATTACAGGGCCTGGGCCTACATCCCTACTTAGTCAGTAGATAGCTATGTGACCACAGACAAGTCATTTCACTTTGTTGGTCATTATTTGTGTTGTTAGGCAACATACTTTGCTGTCATTTTTCTTATTTTTATTCTAAAGTTAAATATGAACATGTTAAGTATTAACATTAGTATGGTATTATTTATGCTTGATTTTCTCTAGATTAGAGTGGATAATCAAAAGTTAGTTTTATCATTATACATTTTATGTTTAAATGACTTATTTCTACAAGTCTATTTTTAATCCAAAATCAACAGACATTATCATTTCTGGAAAACTTCCTGCATTTTCCTTCAATAGTAGCACATGCTATTTCCTTGTCTATTCCAGACTTAATACATCCTTTTAGAATGTGTGTCATCTGGGTTCTGATAATATCTACTCAGTAGGTCTTTTGTGAATGCCCATATTCTTTTGAACATGTGGAATTTTTCCTCCCTTCTCTATCACTGGTAGTGCCCAGAGGAAAAAAAATTAAAAATCCTCTGACAAAACATTAGTCTTTCTTTTAAAAACCTACTTATCTTTTTATGTCCTATTCCATGGCAGCACCCCTTGAAAAAGGAGGACAAATATTCTCAATTTCCAGTCCTCTATAAAACCTTCAGAATTCTTTAATTTTTGTGGCATATGAAAATCATTACATAAGGGGTATATTTAAAGAATATATGAAATCAGTATATAAAGGTAGTGTGGGATAGCCACGAAAACCTGGGTTCAAGTTCCACCTGTGATGCATACTAGCTGTGGAACCCTGGACAAATCATTTAACCTTAGTGATTACTAGAGAATTCTCTAATATTCTAACTTGTGACAAAGCACCAAACTACTTTGATAGAGGGAACTTCTTCATCCAGGAGTGCCGTATACAAATAAAATTACTGGTCTAGTTCCTATCTCTAATTCTGAAATTAGGGTTTCCTTCCCCCATATATCTTATTATGAACAATAGGTTCTTAGCTATGCTATTCAGTATTAAGCAAAAAGTTCCACCTCTATGATAGGTCCTCAAAGGAATAATTGTCTCCCCCTTCCAAATAGTTATAAGTGAAACATTTTAAAGAAGTTAACTGTGTCTGATCCCCTACTAGTTGTCTCCTAATGATGTACTCTCAAGCAACGGGGCTACAATTATTTTGGAATGCAAACCTGCGTTGGTGAAGGCAATACAGATGTGGACTAGCTGATCGGTGTTGATTAACAGCAAAAGAAGTTGAATGGTCAACGCTGGAATCCCCTTGATTACCATGACCAGATGAGATATTTCCAAATCTATCTGAAGACGGAGATAACAATTCACGTCTCCGAGCAGTCCATTCTGCTTGATCCCTTAAAATCTGGAAGACAACATGCTTTATTACTTAATTGGTTTTTATTAATTGAGGGAAGACAAGAAAATCAGGAGAAGGAATAAAACTGAGTACATAGCCATTTCCTGAAAATATGAAGAGAGTTAGGAGAGCTGGAAAGATAACGTTAAGCTCTCAAAGTCAAAATGCGGAATAAACAGTATCTGTGTCTGTGATCACAGAGCAAAATCTTAAGTGGATGGAAAAATCCTATTTCTTTTCAATACTTCCAGAGATCAATTCATCAGTACTGGTGTTCCCTCTACCAGTGAGGATCTCCACCCTTCCATGCCCTAACAAAAGGTCTTCATGGGTACCAAAATCATTCTTTAACTGGTGATCAGCTTTCCCTTGCTGAGCCCATCCACATTTGGCTAGAAGTAGAGACATCCAATCCACGGCCAGGAATATCCTCCAAGCACATCTAGGATTTTTCAATTGCCTGATTATACATGGATTGTGATGCTATAATATAGATATTGGAATCTGAGCTCTTTGAGGGCAGGGACCATGTTTCTGCCTTTTTGTCTCCCCAGCACTTCATCCAGTTCAAGGGGTACATTGGGTAGTTGGAGATGCAAGAATGAAGAGGAGAAAGGATATGGCAGGATAAATAGATCTGAGAATCAGATAAGTCCAGGTCTGAGAATCACCTGCATGGAGATAGTAACTGAATCCATGACAGATGATGAGATATCCAAGTGAAATAGTATAGAGGGAAAAGATAAGGACCCAGGATAGAGCCATGATGGACACCCATGATTAACAGGCATGACCTAGATGAAGATCCAACAAAGGTGACTATGGAGGATCAGTCAGACGAGAAGGAGAACAAGAGAACCAGGACAGAGCATTATTATGAAAACCTAGAGAGAAAAAAGTCTCAAGAAGAGGATGATCAGCAGTGTCAGAGCTGCAGAGAGGTCCAGAAGGATGAGGACAGAGAAAAGGTCATTGGATTTGGCAACTACGAGACCATTAGTAAGTACTTAATAAATGACTATTGCCTGCTTTTTTTGGAGCCCTTTCTGTAAGGAAACTCTAACCGAAGTAAGGGTTTAGAAAAGCAAGATAGGTAATAGAATATGGGGGCAAGGAACTAAAAAGAAGAGGACAGTGTAGGGTTGAACTGATTCACTAAGGGTTGTTATGGAGAAGGGAGGGGAATATGATCAGTGCAGGGGTGAGAGCCTGGGGGGGTAAGGGGCAAAGGGATTGGAAATACCAATGAAGATGAAGAACAGGGTTAAGGGTTGCAAGGCAGAAAGAAATGTGGAATAACAACAGATTATGATCAGATAAAGGAATTTCATAGTTCACAAGCATGAAAATGGAACAATTATGGGGGATGTGAAAATCAAGCATATCATTATCTCTATGTGTAGCTGAGAAAGATGGAGGAGTAGGTTATGAGAAATGAGTTAGGTTAAGGAACTGGAAAGGTAGGGTGTTTAAAGGAGTATCAATATGTTGCAGTCCCCTAGTATAAGAAGAGGAATTGGGGAAAGAGAAAAACTATGAGCAAACCACTAAACCCACTGAGGAAGGAAGGAGAGTGTCCTGTAGATTTGTAGATAACAACTACCATAATATTGATTGGGTGATAAATATGAATCAGCTGAACCTCAAAGAAAGTGTCAGTGGTGGAAAGGGACAGGAAAATAGGGAGCAAGGAGTATTCTACATCTCCCTCCAAAGAGGGTAAGAGTGAAAGTGTAACCAGTGCTAAAGAGGGTGGCCAGATAAGCTATGTCATCAGGAAGGAGCCAGGTCTCAATGAGTTCAAGAAGATGAAAGGAGTGAAAAAGGAAAAGGTTTAAAATGAAATTTTTAAATTTGTTAATTTGTTATCTATGGAGTAGGCATTTATTCCAGGGGACACAGTGGAAGGGGTGAGTAGTTTCAGAGTGGGATATTGTGGGTAGAGATATGGGAATGGGGACCAGGCAATGGCAGATGCAGAATGGGGCTTGTACAATGACAGCTGGGTGTTTCAAAATCCCTGGTATGGACAGAGTATAAAGGGTGGGAGTACATTAATCATCAAGGGGGGAATTGTGGGAAGATGGCAGAACAAGACAGGAAATTACCTGGGTCTCCTAAATTCCCCTACATATAACTTAAGGTAAATTTCTGAGTGGCAAAAATGATTAAAAGTCAGGGTAAAGCAGTTGTCCAGCCTAAGAAAACTTGGTATGACATTAGGAAATGTCTGACCCCCTGGGGTGGTGGTTTGTTCAGATTGAGGTACAGAGACATCCAGGCAGATACAGCTGAGTCAACAAATGGGGGCAGCTGTGTAGGCAGCAGCCTGGTTTTGGTTCCAGGGCAGAGGGTCAAAATGATCATTACAGCCACAGGGACCACAGGGAACAAGGGCATTTTCCAGGCAGTGGTGCTGGGAGTCCTGGTTAAGGCTCAGGGGAAGAGAGGAATACCTGAGGTCACTTATAGACAAAGGCATGAACCAGAGGATCAGTGACCACACCTGGCCTTGGATTTTAGAGCACTGGAGGAACCAAAAGGTCAAAGGCTCCTAGGTAAAGTTCAGAAAATAACACCATGAAAAACCTGAAGCCTGAGACATTATCCTCTCCACCCTAAGAGCAGAGCCCGACCTTAATATAAAGGTAACAGCCAAGAAACAAGCCATTAAAATGAATAAATATTAGAGAAAAACCTGACCACAGATAGCTACTATGGTGATAGAGAAGATCAGGGTTCAAACTCAGAAAAAGACAAAACAGCTTCTTGGAAAGCTTCAAAGAAAAATGTAAAATGGTCACAAGCTCAAAAAGATTTCTTCAGTGAACTTTAAAAAAACTTTAAAAATCAAGAGAGATTGAGGAAAAATTGGGAATAGAAATAAGAGTAATGTAAGAAAAGCAAGAAAATTATTAAAAGAAGTCAACCAACTAGAAAAAGAAATCCAAAAACTTACCAAAGAAAATAACTCCTTAAAAATTAGAGTTGGGCAAGAGAAGCTAATGACTTTATAAGACATCAAGAAATAATTTTTAAAAATTGAAAAACATGTAAAAAAGAAGTGAATGTGAAACATCTTATTAGAAAAACAATTGACCTAGAAAATAGATCAAGGAGAGATAATATAAGAATTGTCAGACTACCTGAAAATTATGATCAAAAGAGCCTAGACACTATACTTCCAGAATTATTGAGGGCAATTGCCCTGAAGTTCTAGAGCTAGAGAGTAAAATAGAAATCTTAAAGATCCACTGATCACCGCCTGAAAGAGATCCCAAAACGAAAACTCATAGGAACATTATAACTAAGTTTCAAAGCTCCTAGTTTAAGAAGAAAATATTACAAGCAACTAGAAAGAAACAATATAAACATTGTTGAACTACAGTCAGGATAACACAAGATTTAGCAGCTTCTACATTAAGACCGAAGGGTGTGGGATATGATATTACAAAAAGCAAAGGAGCTTGTTTTGCAACCAAGAATAGCTTATCTAGCAAAGCTGAGGATAAACCTGCAAAGGAAAAAAATTAATATTTAATGAACTAAAGGACTTTCAGGTATTCTTAAGGAAAAGACTAGAACTGAACAAAAAATTTGACTTACAAGAATCAGGAGAAACATAAGGTAAATGTGAAAGACTAATCCCTATAGAGGACTTAATGAGGTTAAATTGTTTTCTTCTTATGTGGGAAAATGACATTTGTAACTCTTAAGAATGTTACCATTTCTAGGGTAGTTCAAAAAAGCATATCTAGATAAAAGGCTTGGGGTTGAGTTTATTATGATAGGATGATCCTAAAAAATAAAATTAGGTACAAAGAGGTAAAATGGAGCAAATTATCTCATACAAAAGAGGCAAGAATGAAAGAAATGTTACAGTGGAGGGAAAGATAGTATGGAAGGTGGGTAGTATGGGAACTTTATTTTCACTGGAACTGGCTTAAAGAGGGTATAACATATATTTCACAGGCATAAAAGTCTTCTTAATTTACAGAAAATTAAGAAGGCAAAGGGTTAGGATAAGGGAGGGACTCCTAGAAGGGTGCATGGATTAAAGAGGCAATGGTCAGAAAATTGGGCTTCTGAGAAGGAATAGGGTAATCAGAAAGAGAGAAAGAGGAAAAATAGAAAGAACTGATATATGGAACTATGTATTATATAGCTTCACATATGTATCTGTGCCAAATGTTGGCCTTCTCTAGTGCTGAGAGGGAAATAGCTTGGAACTCAAATGCAATAAAAAAAATGTTTAAATCATTGAGGAATGAGTTCAGGTTATCATCATCCCTAGGGGGCCAGAGCTAGAGGGGGACCAAGATGGGAGTGAAGAATGAACAATAAGGCTAGCTAGATCTTTGAACAACATAGAGGTTCTAGACAAAGATTCACCAATAATGTGGAGTCACAGACAACAGTGTGCAGCTGGAGGAGGGGTGGGGGAAGGGGATGAGAGGCAACAGAGGTGGAGTTGTAGGAGGCCATGGGGAGAGGGATCCCAGGAGGGCAATGGAATAACTGGCTCAGGCAAGGACCCTCCCCTCCTTCTGGGACAAGTGAGGCAAACAGTATGAAGCTGTAGAAAGACAAAAAGAGATTCTTCCACCATTGAATAGAGAAATGTAACTATTGCCAGAAGATCAGAGTTGAAAATGTGTCGTTTCAGACATGCTACTTTTAAAATTATCTTCATGGGTGTGGAATGTTGCATATGCTGTCAGATGTGATTGATGTGTTAGTTTTCCTGAATTTTTTAAGCTTCATTACAAGATAAAGTTAGCTGGGAAAGGGAAAGGAAGAGAGTGGAGGTAAGCAGGAATATTCTGATATTTGGAAATCAACGTGATGTTAAAACAAAAGGCAGCCACAGAACTTTTTTAGAATTACCTTCATGTCAACTGCAATACTGTCAAGAGAAGAAGCTGGAAAAAGAGGAAGAGAAATTTCAATGACTCAACATTTCCAATTACTCTTAAATCTGCTGCTAAGTTCCTAAATTGTAGCACAGGGGGAAAAACTCAATGTAATCAATTACCATACTTTATTGCTCACTTTTGATTTCAGCTATCATTTTTCAGAGCCTACTACCACCTTAGATCCTGACTGCAGGTGAAGTCTTCCTTAAGACACAGATGTTTAAATGATGGAGTTTCTGGTCTCTTGATACTAGCAGTAATTATCATCCTTAGGGCAAAATACTGTGGCTACAATGAGGACAAAACCCCTTAAAAGAGAAGTATCCACTTTAGTCCAGGCAAGGGGAGAAAGTACTTATGCTGTTGCTAGAAGACAAGATAAACCTTGTGGGCATTTTGACTACACTACTCATCTTGCCTTACCGCTTTTCCTCACACGTACAGTTCTTGGTATATAATAAATACTTAGTAAATGATTGTTGACTGGCTCTTCCTTGAAACCCTGTCAATGAATTCTAACTATACTTCCTAGAAAGATATTCATATGTATTGTGTCCTACCTATGATATTATGTCGTTCTATTAGGGTTGAATGATAGGATGAAAATGCTTTGAAAAGTCTAGAGTGTTATCTGCAAATTCACATCTTCAATTTCATTGGTGTTTGAAACTCCCAGTGCAAAAACTCCCTTCATCAACACAAATTTCACCCCATCTATGATGCTGTAGATAAGTCCTAGGGAGTTGGCTGAGGCACATTGAGAGGTTAAGTGATCTGTCTAGGGTCACACAGCTAGAGGTTTGAAATCACATTGCTTCTTAGCCTTTTCAGACTAAGATTAAGCAAAGATTCTGAATAGGAGTGTACTGAAGCCAGCAACAATTGATGACCAACTACCACCCATGGGCATGTGGGAACAAGAGCCCTGGAAATGGTGGTGCTGCTGGTCCCATTCCCAGGCCAACCTTTGCAGCCATCATCTGGGGAAGTCAACTCATGTGGAAGAGGGGGGCACCTACCAAGTGCCACCCATAGGACAGGTACGTCAGTCTAGCTCAAGCAGCCAAGCACTCTGAGGAAGAGATAGGAGGTAGCTTGTGCCAGGTAAGTCAAACCACCTTCCATCAGATCCCAGTGGAAACATCCCAGGTCCCTGAACCCAAGAGCCTTGGGAACAGTGATACTTTCAGCCATGCTGAGATGCTGCCTGTGGCCATCATCCTGGGAAGCTACTCCTGTAGAGGTGCAGCTTTGCAAGTGCTCCCACAAGGTGCTATACTCACATTTATTAAAGGCCCAGAAAAGAAAGTTCTTGCCCCTAAAGCCCTTGGTGATGTTAAATGGTTCAACATCCAAAACAAAATTTTTTTTATCGATAGAAATGACACAAAAGAGTAGGCATTACTATCTGCTTTGCTGCTGTCCCCTAAGGACTATGGGACCTTTCTATCTTGCAGCTTAAACCTTTATGGGTATCATCTCCCCCATTAGAATGTGACTGCCTGTAGAGCAAGGTCTTGCTTACATTTTCTCTTGGCATCCCCAATGCTTAGTACAGGGCTTTGCACATAGTAAATGTTTAATAAATGCCTTGCTCATTCATTCATAATCTTCCATATCATCCTCCATATATATATATATATATATATATGCATATAGATATACGTGTATACATACATATATATTTCAAACTAGTCTGTACTCTAAAGTGATATTGCTCATCTGCCATATCTCTCTACTTGGCAAGGAAATCAAGAGTTTGCTGACTGTGGTGGTTTCCAGGGCCCTTTTGTGCATGTTGCTCTGCATCAGTTAAACTTCCAGAGGAAATAATAACATTTGGGGGGGGACATGGGGAGGGAGGTGCACAAGCCTATGATTTCATTGGAGTAGGGAACTTCTGATGGGGAAGCTCCCTCTTCCAAAGAAGATTGGCAATTGGTCTGCAATATGCAGTCTTAGAGAGTTTTCTGTAGTAGTGAAAAGTTAAGGAATTGCCCAGGGTCACATAGCCAGTGTGTAACAGAAGGCAAATTTTAGCTCAAAACTTCCTGACTTTTGGGCAATGCTGTCTCAGCAGCAGCAGCATAGCTCACATTTATGTGAGATAACTCAATCATGAGACAAATCAATACTTCTACAAAATCTCCTGTATCCAACCCTTTATCACTGTTCACATAACCTTAATTCAGTCTCTTTCCTAGATGAGTAGAGTAGCCTAACTGCTCTCCCCACCTCAAGTTTCTTTTCCTCTTCAGTCTATCCTCCACACAGTTGCCAAAATGATTCTTCTTAAATGAGAGTCTGGCCATGTTATTCCCCTACTCAGTAAACTCCAGGGGCTCCCTATTGCCTCTAGCACAAAATAGCAACCCCTCTATTTGGCATTTAAAGGTCTTTACATCCTCCATCCAACCTATCTTTCCATATCATTACATATTACTCCCCTTCCTGAGCTCTATGGACAGCCAAATTGGCCTTCCTGCTGTTCTTCACACAAAGTTCTCCATCTTCTATCTCTGGGCCTTTGCTCTGGTCATTTCCCATGCTGGAAATGGACACCCTCTTCACCTGTACCTCTAAGAGTCCATAAATGAATCTTGCACTACCTTCTACTTGAAGCCTTTCATGATCCAAACCTCTCCTCTCACCCAGCTGCTGGTATCCTCCCCAAACTACATTAGTGTGTGTGTGTGTGTGTGTGTGTCTGTGTGTGTGTGTGTGTGTGTGTGTGATAAAGGCTTCTTGACTGATATAGCATTTTAAAGTTTGCACAGTGATTTGCACATATAACCTCATTTTATCCTCATAATAACCCAGGGATATAGGTGCTATTACTATCCCCATTTTATAGATGAGAAAACTGAGAACAAAGAATTATCATCTGCTGCCAGCTAATCATATAAGCCTCTCTATATTTAACCTACTTCTGGGGCCATACTCAAAACCTTTCCAGCAGAATACGACATGCCCAAGTGTGCTTTCCTCTCACTTATCCTTCAATAATAGGTAATATTCATACAGCATTTTAAGGTTTGCAAAGCATCTTATATATGAACTCATGGGATCCTCGAAACAGCTCTGGGAGGAGGTGCTATCACTATCCTGATTTTATAGATGAAGAAATTGAGGTAAATAGAGATTTAAGCAATCTGCTTGGGGTCACACAGCTTAGGAAGTGTCTGAGGCTGGATTTAAACGCAGGTCTTCCTGACCCCAGGCCAGACACAACCTACTCTGCCACCTAGCTATCTTTAAGATTGTTTCCATGTCATGAGGAGACATTGAAGCATCACAGGATCACACAGGATCACAGATCTAGAGGTCTTTAGACCTCTAAATTCAACCCCTTCATTTTGAAGAGGAACAAAATGAGGTGGCCAGGGTGGCTAAATGTCCAAGGTTACATGGGTAGGAAGTGTCAAAGATGGATCCAAGAATTGAAATTAGAGTTGGGGCCTGGATGTCCCCCTTAATTGCATCTCTAATGCTACAGATTTCTTGCGTGGTCTTCATAAGTCTCCATTTCTCTGAGCCGTTGACTCTGCATGTGTTATATATCTTAACCAAAAAGGTCTTTAGAGATAAGTTATTCTACCACTGCTAAATGAGAATTCATCTCCATGTGCCCTTCCCTGGAAGTAACCTTGCAAACTAAGATTTCCCAGTAACAGAGAGAACTGAGTAACTTTTAGAGACAAGTCTGGCAAAATTCAATCAGAGTAGTTCAATTAAATGTCCAATATGATTGATCACTTTCTGTTCAAATCCCTTTGGATATATCTTGGTTGGTAGTTCCCAGTCATTGGGATCCAAAAAAAAAAAAACAAAAACAAAAACACTAGCAATTTGTTACAAAAGGAAGTTGTAGCTTCCTTTTATCTGGGAAGAATGGAAATTGGAGACAGCTGATTGTCAGTGATGGGATGTCAGTGATTGTTCACTTTTGGAGGGAAGAACACAGACCTGTAAAGGAGGGGCAACTGTGGCTTAATGGGGAAAACAATGAGTACATAGGGCAAAAGACCTGAATTCAAGACCTGCATCTGTCATTAATTAGCTGTGGAACTTTGGCAGATCACCTCCTCTGTAGTCTGTTTCCTTGTCTATAAGATGAGAAGAGTATGGATTAGATGGTTCCTTCCAGATCCAACATTTTATACATTCCCTTTCAAATTGTTAAGGTTGTTTAGTTCAATGAAATAAATCTTGTGATTCAAATCACAAGGGAAACATACCCACCAAATGACCTTAATATAACTTCAATACTAAAGCTGACCTTCCCTTCCTGCTCATACAGAATTTTGGGGAGAAGCAGACCAGTTTTCCTTCTCCCCATCAGTCACCTGTCCACATTCAGAAGTTTGGCATCTACTGATTTTTTTAGATTTAAAAAGCCAGTGCTTTATCAAAGACTTCACATCAGTGCAAAAACATATATTTTTATTCTTTAGCTCAGATAGGATACAAATTTAATTGTAAGTCCACAGAATTCCTTTCTCTATGTTCCTTTCCTAACTAAGAAAGTTATCAAAAGAGTCATGTCTCAGTTGATTTCACTAAAGCTCCGGTCTTGGAATGAGAAAATATGAGCTCAAATCTTGCCTCTAAAATGCATTGCATGAGTGTGGGAGAGTCAGTTAATCTCCTTATACCATATTTCTTTATTTCTAAACTGGGAAGAACAATGTTGCATCTTATCAAGTTATTTATGTATTGGGTCATAAATTTTGAGCAATAAGGGACATTAGAGATCATCTAATACAACCCCAACATTTTATGTATGAGGAAACTGAGACTCAAAAAAGGAAAAGTAGATTACACAGGTAGTAAGTAGCAATCTTTGTATAATTTAAAGTGCTAAAGGAACATAATCTGACTCCCACCCAACCTGGATGAGGGAGGAGCAGCCCTATTAGGGAGCACACAGGCTGCAGACCATGACTATAGAGTGGTGGAGAGGAGAGAATGCTGATACAACACAGTGTGTGTGCATGGGGGGCAGAGTTGGTGCAAGGGTATAACAGAAGGGAAACATTCATTTCTTCTTTGACAGGAAATGTGGATGGTTGCAGACTTTCTTGGGAACCAACTCCAGACATGTACAGAGAAAGAGACAGATTTTAGAATCTGTAGACATGTTGGGGAAGCTGTTTACTCTAAATATCCTCAATTTCCAGGCTATCTCCACAGAAACTTCTGGGAATTTCCCATTGAGTGAGATTAGGACCTTTCTCTTGGGTGAACTGAGATTTCATCTTGCTGTCATCTTAAAAGCTCATATATTCTGCATATTTGCTAGCATATCTGCATAATTTCTCCCATTTCTATTTTCTATCTGTTTGGATAAATAAATGTACTTGCTATTCATCATTTGTGATGGGTGTAACTAGAGTTTGGAGAGGAGCTAACCCTGCAGATGCAAGCTTGAGCTAATCCTTTCCCATTGAGAGCAACCAGGAAAGTGGCTTTTTATATTGAACCTCTTGTGCTTTACTCCTAGACCAACAGTATTTAGGGAGTAGATTGATGTCATTCTAGTCTGGTAGACTAGCTAAAAGAAGATCCAGAAAGGTGGCATGCTGGGGCTTGCCTCTCCCTTCTCTCCTTTCCTTGTCCCCAGCTATCTATTTTCCTCCTCTTCTCAGGGGCAGACCTCAGATCAAATCTAGCAATGCCTTCTACAAGCCCTATTTAGGCAACTCATGCAGTACTTATATGAATACATACATACACATTTTACAAATGGGAATTTTTATTTGTCATTCATCTAGGGAAATCCCTTGCCCATTAACTCCATAAAGCTCCCCTGGGTGATAATTGAGCCCAAAATTTATAAAGTAACTTGGGCTTCCACAGTATGAAAGCCCACATAGCAGTATGAAGTATGAATTCCATTAGACACATGATAGGAAGAAAAGAGAAGAAACCAAAATACCTCTTTTCAGTGGAAAATCAAAGCATGCAAAGTCAGCATTTTTTCTGGACTTTTGAGTGTGTGGTTTTAAAGGAATTTGTTCACCAAATGGCTTTGAACTGTCTACCTAAAAGTAAAGAAATGACATGAAACAAAATTTAGTATTCCATGAAAATTTGACATGATGTCAGTAGCAGAGAATGGGCTAGGAAATCTTGTTCTTCCAAGATAAGCCTGACACATACTTCTCCTTTTCCCAACTTGAAAACTAAGGCTTTCTCTTTTTCCCTTGTTCATCTGTATGAAAATTCTTAGCAGAAAAGAAACAAGTTGAGTAAAAGAGATGTATTGGAGACTGAGGAAGCAGTTTCTCAAGCAACTTTGCCTTGTACTTGCAAATGTTACTTTCACAATAACAACTCGTTAGATTCCTAGGAAGGATCTGCAGCATCTTTCAAGGAATAGTGGAAAGGCTATAAAAGGGGGTAAGATTGGGCAGGGAGGGTAAGGGAAACATAGATAGGTGATTTTCTTTCCTTTTTTTTTGGTGAGGCAATGAGGGTTAAGTGACTTGCCCAGGGTCACAGCTAGTAAGTTTTAAGTGTCAGAGGTCAGATTTGAACTCAGGTCCTCCTGACTTCAGAGCTCTATCTACTGCACCACCTATCTGTTCCAGTAGGTGATTTTTAATGCCTGTACTAGTAATAATTGTTTTTCTGCCAAAGGATGCAGAATCCTAATCTCCATCCAGGAAGCCAGATTGGGTCCTTTTTAGGCCTATATTCTCTTCATATAGAACCTTCTTTTACCCTTTACACAAAGCTAAGCCTTAAACCTTCCTTCCTCTCAGCCCAGAAATGCAGAAGTATTACCACAATATCTGTGCAGCTGGGTAGCCCCAACCTCTTACACCACCAGAACTTGTTTGACCTTTTTGCCTGTTTCTTTTATTGAACCCAGAGTCGTGCAGGCTAGAAAGGAAGAAGTTGCAAAGCAATTTAGATATTATTAGTGTATTAAAGGATATATAATGTAGTCCTATTGTGATGACTTGTCATAGAGTGGAGATAACCCTGGATTAACAAAAGCCATGCCAGAGGAGTAAAAACTATGAAAGGTTAATCCATGCTAGAAAAGCTTCAAGCACATTCTTGGTGAAAGGTTGAGTCCATTATCCAAAGATCAACCTAGCTAAGTATGAAAGACTCACTACCAGTAGGTGAGACATTAGATGATGGCCATAGCAGCCCACAAAACAAATCAAAATACAAAATTATCACCCTTAAAAAAAGAATCAAGAGGATATTAATTACTACTGACTCCTATGGGTACTTTCTCAACTGTATACAATTTTACAGGAATCATCTACACATGCATGGAAGTATAAAACCTTGGAGAAAATATGAGAGGGAAACAGGTAGACTTTTGTAAAATATTTTTAGTAGGCCACACCTTTATAATCATATAATTGATTGAAAGGCACAAAAAATATAAAATTCCATTGTGTTTATTGTTTGTTGGGTGCAATAAAAGAAAGAAAAGAAAAGAATTTGACTCAATAGAGCAAAATGTGATTTTAAAGGCTCTCCTCTAAGGAATCACTCATATGCATGTCAAAATCAGAAAAGATTCCTTCTTAAAAGCAGTTATAGAGATAACTTTATTCAACAACCCACTGATTACTAATGTCAAGCAAGCCATAAAACAGAGAAATGTATGCCTGCCAAAGGCTTTTGACATTTTCTGGGAGGACGTCCTCTTCCAGGGTCCAAAGACATTTCTACATATTTTGGGGCAGCCATTTCCTTCTGCAGTTCATTTTAAAAATGAGGAAACTGGGACAAACAGGGCTAATCGACTTGCCCAAAATCACATAGCTTATAAGTGTCTGAGGCTGCATTTGAACTCAGGAAAAGTCTTCCTGACTCCAGGCTCACCACTCTATACACTGAGCCACCTATGTATATGTGTGTGTGTGTGTACATATATATATATGTATGTGTGTATATATATAGCATAAATACACACATATATTTATAAATATATACATATATACACATATATACATATACATATATATAATGCATTATCCTTTGCATCATAATGGCTTGGTCTGACCATAAGCAATTATTTCATTTATTTCTGTCTTTATTACCATAAAGATTATTTTGTAATTGTATTCATATAGTTCCTATCTATGCCTTGGTAGGTATAATCCCAAGTACAATATATATTCTATAGTTAGGGATCTCATGCATCCCTTTCAGACTTAGACAAGTCTAACAAAAAATATATAAAAGAAAGAAATTAGGGACCTGAATAGAATTTTAGAAAAGTTAGATATAAAGGATCTCTGGTGATTAATGCACAGCAATAAAAAGAAACATATATATGTACATACATATGCTATACATAATATTACAAATGTACATATATACATATATTTCTCAGAGGTGCAAAGCATCTTTATAAAAATTGATCATACACTAAGGCATAAAAACTTCATAAATAGAATTTTAAAAGCAGAAATATTAAACACATCTTTTAATGACCAGAAGGCTACAGTAAATAAAGGATTTTGAAGAAATAATCAAAATTTAAATGGAAATTAAATAATTGAATCCTAAAGAATTGGTGGGTCAATGAACAAATCATAGAAACAGAGAATATCATTTTTAAAAAATGAAAACAATGAGACAACATACCAAAATTTTTGGGATACTGTCAAATTAGCATTGCGGTACATAAATGTAATAAAATATTACTATGCTGGAAGAAATGGCAAATATGATGACTACAGAGAAGCATGGAAAGATCTACATGAAATGGTATAGAATGACGTAAGCAGAGCCAAGAAAACAAGGATTAGAAGACTACAGAAATGTAAATGGAAAGAAAAATACACACACAATCAGAAGTGAATGTTGCAAAATTACAAAGAATGAGCAGAACTTCAAAAATAAAAGATGTCAGAAGACACCCCTATACCCCCTCTACAGAAGTAGGTGGTTCACAAATGTGGCACATTGAACATATTTTCAGACACTTCCAGTGTATTGCTGATTTTTTCCTCTTCCTTTTTTTGTATTTAAAAAAATATTGTTACTTGGGATAGCTTTCTGGAAGATGTAGAGGAAGTAACATGAGGGAGAATCATGATGATAAAAAAATTTTAAATACCAGGTCTTTTTAAAAGTTCCTTTAAAAAAAAAACTACAAAACTAGCTGAAATAATGTGAATGATTAAATTAACCCAGTACTTTTTGGCAAACTGAAATCATTCTGTAACTAAGAGGAAATGGATTCAAGATGTTATGATAATGCCCAATTCATTATTTCCTCACTTTTGGGGCTCAGCTCAGCAATTGCCACTGAGCAACCACTTGAAGGGATCTCCCTTTGAAACTGGCAAAGCTTCCATTTCAAATTAAAACATTCCCTCTAGCCCATGAACAATCTATTTCTGTCTACTTATTTCAAAGTTTCATATCAACCTTCTGAATATTCTGGATAACAGAGAGCTACCACATATAAACTCAGTATCCAGATAACTGATTCTCAAAGAATCAGAACAAAATAAGATGCACATAATCATAACAATTCACATTTATGTGACATTTAAGTTTTAGAAAATATTTTTATTAGGCAGCATGGCATAGTAGAAAGAGTACTAGATTTTGAGTTAGAAGACCTGGACTCATGTTCTGCCTCTGATACTTGGTAACTGTTTCACCATGGGCCAGGTGTTAACGTAAGACTCAGTTTCCTAATCTATAAAATGGCATATTAATACTTGTTAACAGTTACTCCAAATGAAGAGTCAGACACCACTGAAAATGACCAAACAACAAAAAACAACAAAACTTCAAATGAGGTCATGTATGTAACATGCCTTGAAAATCTGAAAAGTGCCATATCAATGTCAGTTATTATTAGTAGTTTTGTTATGTAGCCTATTATCATCCAAAACTGAGGTTCAGAGAGGTCATAAGACTTGGCCATTGTTGTTTTACTGAGGAAATAATAACTACACTTAATACTGAAACTATATTTAACATAATGTAATATTATACCGATGAATCACAAGATACTTCAGGATTTTGCAGGACCTCAGGGTCATTATCACTGTATGGTAGTTTGTTATCACTGAGATTTTCCTTTTCTGTTGTTTTTCATTCATGGCCCACAGTATGAGAACTCCCAACTATTTATATACATCAGTCTGGTGTATTTAGGATTCTAAAAATGATTTGTAGAATGTAAGCTTTGTGACTTGATAATTAAAGAGATATCCCTCCTCTAGAGAAGAGGGAGAAGGGGAAGAGAAGGAGAGAAATCAGGTGTGAGAACCTATAACTCTGTCACTTGGTTTCACTTATTTTTATTTGTTACAAGGAAGTAAGTGTTCTGTGTAGGGTGATAATGTGAATTACTATGTTTAAAAACAAAAGGCAACAATAAAACTTTAAAAATAAAGAATGTCAGCTCCTTAAGGAAAGGAATTATGTCATTTTCCCCAATCATTGAATCCCCAAAGCCTAGCAGTCTTGTGCATTGTTTGGTCTTGACTATTGACTTCATTGGTATGGGAAACTCTTGGTTAAGAAATTCCTCCACTGATACAGATCAGCAGCCCATTTAAAGTTTGCAATTTTGGAGTGTTGATGTTAAGGGACGTGCCAGGGGTCCCACAACCAGGAAATATTGGAGCTCTGACCTGAACCCAGGTCTTCCTAACTTTAAGGCTGGCTCTCCATCCATGACTTCACGCAGCCTCTTGCCTTGCACATAGTTTGGGCTTAATAAATGTTTATTTAATCAAATTGAAACATACAGGTGAGGACCACTGAATGCTCTACAGAATTGGCCTTATTGTTTTCTGGAAAGGGTATCAAGAGTAGATCATAAAGACTCTGCTACTTACAACCTGTGTGACATCCGACATATCATTTTGCCTATCTGGGTTTCCTGATCTGTAAAAACAAATGCTCAGGTCTCCCTCAGCATTAAAGGCTGTGCATTCTCCTGAGCAGCACAGGGGACACAGAAATAACCCCATTCAGCTTACAATGTGTGACTTTGTAAATGTGAGAACTCCCTCCACCATGGCAGATGGTAACCACCTTTATGACTTTTGACTGAAAAAAAGTCAAGGGCCTCGTAAAGAGCCTTTCTGATGGACAAATTATAACACCAGATCTTTACCATCCCCATTCTACAGGTAGAAATAGAACCTCAATGGAAGTCATGTGCCTGCTTTGTGATACCCAAGTGAAAAATTCAATGATACATCTAAACATTTTGCCTCTTTAATACCAAATATCTGTAATACCAAATAACACCCAAATACCAAATATGTTTGCATAAAGACATGGATAAATATTCTATACAACTGCAGGCCTCTCTTTAATTCGCCATTTATGTATTTATTTTTGCAACAAGCTTCCCTCTCTCCCAGCCATCTCCTCATTGTTCCCACCCTATTCTGAAGGTCTGTGTAGAGTGGTATTAAGCCTTACATGTCTAACTACAAATGGAGGTTTGGTTTCTGGTCGGGGTTTGAAGCCACGAGATCCAGGGTTCGGCCGCAATGGCCGCTCCTCCTGGCAAAGGCGCCGAATCATGTGTGGTGATGGAGAACGAGACCGAAAGCTTCTGCCGAGCTTCTCACAAGCATTCTCCTTCATCGTGGTTCTTAAGTTCTGTAAATGGGGACTGAGCACTTGTTTAAAACATGAAGCAGAGGCAGGCCTCAAATGTCGCAATCTTTCTTCCTGTCAAAAATAATAATAATAATGTAAAAAAAGGATAAAGAAAATAGGATTGAAACCCACCATCTAAATACAAGTTAAGAAGTTGAGAGTAGCCTCACCTTTTCTACTTAGGACATTCATTTGAAGTCAGATTAGAATCCTGGTTACTTCCTCTTACTACCTACGTGACCTCTCTCTGATCTTTAGCTTATTCATCAATACATGACTTCATATTTGTAATGGGTTTTGTATTTCTTGCCTTCTTAATGCACAGGGAAGGGATTAGGAGAAAAGAAAGAATCTGGGACTGAAAATAATATAAAATTGATTTTTTAAATAATAAAAATAAAATGGGTAAAGGGAAAGGGTTAGGTTAGACAACCCCTAAAATTTCTTAAGGCACTAAATCCTATTATTCTATGAACTTCCTTTTTTTGTGAGGCAATTAGAGTTAAGTGACTTGCCTAGGGTCACATACCTAGTAAGTGTCAAGCGTCTGAGGCTGGATTTGAACTCAGGTCCTCCTGACTCCAGGGCTAGTGCTCTATCCACTGAGCCACCTACCTGCCCCTATTCTACGAACTTCTAAGAAAGTATTTTTTTAACCCAATTCTTGTTTTCTAGGACAATTTGATTCAAATCCTAATATCACCAGTATTTGTAATATAATAATTATAACTCATATTTACAAAGTGTCCCAAAAGTCCTATTGCAGTTTTAACTTATTAAAGCTTAAAACTGTAATAGGACTTTTGGGACACCCTGTACATACAGCTTCCTCACAATGAGCTGAGCCCCCCTGCAACTCAAAATTCCCAACCTCAAGATCCATCACCTTCAGCCTCCACCATAGCAGAGATTGCAGTCCTACGCCACCAAGGTCAGCCTCAGAGTAACAGCTAAAATATGGCAAATATAAGGACAGGACCTGTGATTTTATTGGTATTAGAACTCTTAGATAAGGAAACCCCTTCTACCAATGTATGTCAGCCCCTTCTCTGCAATGTATAGTGTTAAAGAATTGTAGGAAAAAAAGAATTGTAGAGCATTGAAAGATTAAATGGTTTGCCCTGAGTTACAGAGTCAGTATGTGTGTGTCAGATTTGAATTTGGGTCTTCCTGGACAAGTTCACTATCCACCATACCACACTGGCTTCTAAGGAAGGTGAAAATATCATAGTAAATTATATGAAGCCCCATAAAGGACAATGAAGCAGTTCCAAGAATATAAGAATATTTCAGATGAACAATAAAAGAATTAGACATCAAAAAAAAGGGATAGAAACTAGAACTTCTTTTTAAGGCAATTGGGGTTAAGTGACTTGACCAGAGTCACATAGCTAGTAAGCGTCAAGTGTTTGATCTGAGGCCAGATTTGAACTCAGGTCCTCCTGACTTGAGGGCTGGTGCTCTATCCACTGTGCCACTTAGCTGCCTCCGAAATTAGAACTTTTAAGAAAGAAATCAGTAAATCTAACAAAACAGTGGAGAATTTAGAACAATTGAGACACTCTCCAAAACAGGACTGCAATGCAAAAATGCTGGTACAGAAGGAAAATCAAATAAGATTTTGAAATGTGGTATTATTGTTGTCAGGTTTTTAAACATTCTGGTATCATTTTTCTTATTTCATCTTCAAGCCAAACATGGCTTATTAGATTGTTTTTCAGTTTTCATTTGATTTTAAAACTTTTATGGTTCTAATTCTATTTCATTATGGTCTGACAAGATAACCTGCATATTTTCTGTTTTTTAAAAAATTCATGTAGGACTTCTCAGTGACCTATTCTGTCATCAGTTTTGTATTTATAAACCAATTGTTCCATTTAGTTGTTTCCAAATATTTTAAATGCTATTTTGCTAAATTAGCAAATTAGACCTGTGATTTCTTTATTGTTAATCTTTTTATTTAATTTATCATAATTGTATAATGAAGCACTGAAGTCTCCTTTTATAAAACTTTTGTCAATTTCTTCTTTTATTTATCTTTTATTAATTTGTCAAATTGTTTGGTACATGCAAAATGCAATTTGTTCATATCTGCATATTACTCATTTTCTTTTCACCATTATGAGATGCCCTTTCCTGTCTCTTAATGTTTTCTGGTTTGAATTCTATTTTGTCAAATATTGTTTCTACCACTCTTCCATTTTTAAATTGTAGGTAAATAATATGGTTTAGAACCACCTCGTCACTTTAATTTAGCAGTATATTTTTCCATTAAATGTGTTTCCTGTGAGCAAGATATAGATGAGCTTTGCTTCTTGAGCTACTTTGTGACACTTTTTATTTTAGTGGGAAAAATTATTATTGTCATGTTGTAAACTTATCTTCAGATATTTTATTTTTATTTTTCTTGGCATTGCCTAGATGAAGTAAAATCTATCTTAGTTTCCTACATTTTTTCAACCACCAAAAAGTAGTGAATGAAAGAAGGCATTTATATTTTCAAATTATAATATATATAATTATATATGTATATGTGTATATACATATTTCCCCGAGGTTTATAATTAATTCTATAACTATAATTTCCTGAGGTTTAATTAATACCTTAAAATTATTCATTGGTTGTCTTGTGGATGCATGGATGACTAGTTACTACAACTATCAGCTGACATAAACTACTTTGCTTGGCCGAGAATGTTGATAAATTTGTGTTCCTCCACCCACTCTTCACACAGTTTGCCCTATAACCACCGGTGAAGATTTACAAGCTAGCTCATCAGCATTTGTGGGCAAGAATAAAGCACAAGTAGCCATATATTCAAGGATCAAATAACTTTGAACTCATTGACACCTTGTTCTAGCCAAGTAAGCTAAACTAAAAATATAGAATGCTTCTGAAGGAGGCCTCACTACTGTTTTGATATTCAGATTGGACAGTTTGAATAAAGATCTAAACTTCATAAGAGTACTTTGTTAATCCAAAACTGAAACTTGACTAAAATACTTTAAATTTCATTCTGAGTCAAACAAATACAAGTAGCAAAGAGATAGCATTTTTGTTGTGCTAATTTTCTTAATTATACTTACAAAAAATCTTTTTAATGGACAAGTGAGTTCTTTGATGGCTGTCCTTGTAGAAAACTCTATTTTTGGAGAGATGCCCTTAAAGTAAATAAAAGGAACAAATGAAACCACTGGAAATATATGCTCTATACCCACTACCTCTTATCATAAAATTGTAAAATAACAGAAATTCCATTCTATCTCATTGTCTTAATCCACAAATTCCATTATCATTATCTAAAACCCCACATATAATCTCAAAATGAGATTTCTACATTCTAACCTAACCGGAGCTCCAACCTAACTCTAGTCCCTGAACATGGCTTGAACTCTCCTACATCTGCCTTTGCTCATGTTATCCCTGTGTCTAATATTCTGCCCTCCCTTACTGAACTCCTATTCATTCTTTAAAGTCTAGCTCAAATGTCACTACCCCCACAAAGCCTTCCCTTATTCCCCCTCTTCCCTGTTAATACCAACCTTTGTCTTCAAACCTCACAAAGAACGTTGGTGGTTTTTTTTAACTCTAATGCCTTATCCTATAATGTTGGGTACTATAGTTATCTGCTGTGTGAGTGTATTCTTTTTGCTGGATTGTAAACTCCTTGAAGCTAGAAAATGTGACTTATCTCAGCTTTGTATCTCCTCCTGCACCTTTCACAGTGTTGTACACACAGGAGATGCTTAATAAATGTGTCTTGTATCATAGTTTTATCATACTTCAGCTGTTCTTTACTGACCTCCCAGGGCAATGTAAATGAAGTAACAGGTACTTTCCTTCTCTAATGCCTGGGATGAAAAGCAAACACAAGTTCGTTTACTTCCATATAGACTACCCAACAATTTGACAATTATTACAGTGACTCAAAGATTATGTCTGAGAGAATAGGCTTGATTTGTATGCCAGTACTAAGAGCAGCTCTTCCACCAAATGGAAATACCTGTGAGTTCAGGCAGAAAGATTCCCCCATGCTCACAATCTTTTAAAGAAAATCTCTCTCTCTCTCTTTCTCTCTCTCTCTCTCTGTCTATATATATGTGTATATATATATATGTATATATGTATATATATACACACACACTCACATATATATACGCATACATATATATGTGTATGTGTGTATACATACATACATATTATATATATGATATATATATATATACACATATGTGTGTGAGGGAGTATTTCCACCGGGGTTAAAAAATATAGGGCTAGAAGAGATGATGACAAATTATTTAATGGAGTTGCCAACCTACTTGCCAAAAAATCCTGTTGCAGTGTAACTAGAAAAGATCTGTTTCCTTTAAAAAAAAAAGAAAAGAAAAAGGAAAGAAAAAACTCAGTGTAATAAAAAACATATCTTGGGGCAACTAGGTGGCACAGTGGATAAAGCACCAGCTCTGAAGTCAGGAGGTCTCAAGTTTGAATGTGACCTCAGACCAAACACTGGACACTTAATAGCTGTGTGACCCTGGACAAGTCACTTAACCCCAATTGCTTAAAAAAAAAAAAACATATCTCCTGAATAATGAATAATGTCTTATACATAGATGTTAGTCTATATAGATGTAATACTATTTGTGTAGTTATAGTAAGTACATGTATGTGTTCCTTCTAGGCACACCTTGCTATCATTCCCCTCTATTTGAAGGCCTCTCAATTACTTTCATAGGGTTACAGTTCCAGCTAATCTTCCCCGTTTTCATCTTCCAAAGTTAGATCCACTTACTGTCTTTAGCCCCACTTTATGGCATCTACCTCAGGGACTCAGATTCATTGCCTCCACCAGCAAAGAAATGCCCTGGAGCCCTGGATGAGGAAGCAAACAAAAACGTACCTACTTTGCTCTAGCCATACCTTCCAGAAAACTATAGTCAATAGAGCCAGTCATCACAGTGAAGAGCCACAAAGGGACCAAGAGCATAGCACGCACCAGGGGGAAAGCAGTCATTCAAGTGATGTAACTGGAGCCATATTCTCATCAACCACGTCTTCCTGCTATAGGCATACAAAGGCTATATCAGCCAACACTATAGACTCCTCTGATGCTTGTATCTCATTCACCATTTTTCTTGGGTTTCTAAGAGAATTTATTACCAAGCAGAAACTTGAAGCTACTCCTTAACCAGTACATTATCAAACAAGACTTTGTATCAAAAGAAATTCTGTATCTCCAGTGCCTAAGATCCCTTCCTCAAATGTCCCTTGTTTCTCTTTAGGTTGGCTCCTGTGCGACTGCCACAAGGAGGATTCTTATTTTTGGATCCTGAGTGACCAGAAGTTATGGAAGGTAAGTAAGTATCCCTTAAATTATGTCTACCTATGGGTAGGAAGAAGAAAATCATTTCCCAAATATTGTCGATTCTGTCTCCACAACCACAATCCATCCCCTTGTCTCTATTCACATCACTACTACGGTAGCTTAGACCCTCATTTCCTCTTGCCTGAACTACTGCAATAGCCCCCTAAACGATCTATCTGCCTCAAGACTCTCCTGGTTTCAATCCATTCTCCTCAGAGCTGCCAAATTATATTCCTAAAGCACAGATTGACCATGTTAATCCCAAGCTCAATAAATTCTAGTGGTTCCCTATTACTTCTGGGATCAAATATAAGTTCCTCTGGTTGGTATTTAAAGCACTTCACAACCCAACTCCAACCTACCTTTCTAGCATTATTCTATATCCCCTCCCCACCCCACACTCCATACTCTTTTGTCCAGCCAACCTGGCATTCTTACTGTTTCTCAAACACAAAAATTTCCATATCCTGTCTCTATACCTTTGCATAGGTTGCCTTCCCATGCCTAACATGCCCTCCCTTTCTGCCACTTAGAATCGTTCGTTTCAAAGTTCAGCTCAAATTCCACCTTCTACATGAGACCTTCCCCAATGCCTCCAACTTCAAGTGCCTCCCCCTGGAAAAAAAAAATCACTTGTACACATTTTGCAAATATGACAACAAACATTTACATAGTGCTTTACATATGTATATTTATTTATATAGTTCTTTAGGGTTTACAAAGTGCTTTACAAATGTTATTCCATTTTATCCTCACAACAATCCTGGGAAGGAAGTGATATTATTATCTTCATTTTGTAGATGAGGAATATGAGGCAGACAAAAGTTAAGTGATTTTCCAGGGTCACACAATAAGCAAATGTCTGAGGATGGATTTGAACTAGAGTCTTCCAGATTTGATGTCCAATACTCTCTCCATTGGACCACTTGTTGTCTATAATGAGCTTCTTAAGGGCAGGAAGTGCTTCATTTTTTGTCTTTGTATCTGCAGTGCCTTGAACAAGGCCTGGAGCATTTAATAAATGCTTGTTGCTTTAATAAATGCTTGTTGATTGATTGATAACTCATCAGTGGCTGAACACAGATTCAAAGTCAAGTTCCCTAACTAAATCTAGTACTCTTTTTAACATGTTAATGGCAAACCCCACTAATTGCCATTAAATGTTTAAATAGAAGAACTTTAAGACCACATATTTACATTTTATCATGTCTAAATAATATCTAGATTTACCACTTTATCATATCTAGACACAAACACTTTCAGATAAAGAATGCATCTGTCATACTTCCTTAAACTTCTTAACGTCTTAGACTGTGAGGCCTTTCCATGAATGGAAAATACTGTCCCCCACTAGCCTTAACATAGTTACCTCCCCTTCAAGAGAACAAGAAGGTTAGCTGTCATTCCCTATAGTAGCTGCCCACAAGGAAGATGAGGTATGCAGAGGCTAGCCCCACACATTTCAGGCTAAATGCCCTCAGACATTCTCAGTTACCTGAGCATGGATCATGAGCAGGGTTCTCAATGTAGGACAACCTAGATCCTTCAGGCTGAGTTGAAGGGAGATGTGGTACTATGGGTCTGAGGTCAAGCAAATGAAGAAAGGTTAGAGGGAGGGACAGGAACTAGGGTATGTCTGTAACAAAGAAATGAGCAAGATATCAGTTAAAACAGTTCTCCAAAGAATCAGAGGCAAAAGGTAAAGTCCACTGACTGCATAAAACAGTTCAGAAGCAAAAGTGGCAGTGGGATCTAAGGGCAAAGACATAACAAAGGCACAAGCCAAAGCAGTACAAGCTAAACTGGGGACAAAGAAGGCAGAGGAGAAAAGAAAAGTCCAAATAGGGCAAATAACCTCATCAAGTGGGTAGTGTAAATTATATTACCCCCATCTTATGTATTATAGCAATTCACATTAATATGGTTTTTTAAGCCTGACCAATCCCATAACATATGTAGTACGAGGAAAAGCGTATATAGTGCCAGGCCTGGAGTCAGGAAGACTCATCTTCCTGAGCTCAAATCAGGCCTCAGACACTTAGTAGCTAGCTGTGTGACCTGGGCAAGTCACTTAACTCTGTTTGCCTCAGTTTCCTCATCTGTAAAATGAGTGGGAGAAGGAAATAGCAAACCACTCCAGCATCTTTGCCAAGAAAACCCCAAATGAGGTCACAAAGAGTCACACAAGACTGAAACAACCAAACAATAATAGGTAATACAAATATTATTTTCCCCATTTACAGATGAGCAAATGGGTTCAGAGAGGTTGTTTGTAAATAGCAGGGTCAAGATTTGAACCAAGGTGCTCTATACCACGTAGACTCCAACTACAAATATTATGCTCTGGAATAAATTTGTAGTAGCTAAGTTTCTCAGAGCAATCTAAAACTGAAAACACATGTGTCTAGATGAATATTATTTGATCTGGCTATATGTAGCTCAATGAAACATGACATTATAATTATAAATAGTCATGAGAAAAGGCCACTGAAGCTAAGTGATAGCCTACTATATCATCAGAATAATACTAAAAATCAAGACCATGGTAATAAATACCATCATAATTAGAATGTAATATATTGTACTATAATTTTTCAGAAGAGGAAAGAACTCTGGAAAGATGAATAAGGTGGGAAATTTTTACATAATGAAATTGACAAGTTGTACTGATGAGTTTGCCGAAACAATTAGATACACCAAGGTATTTCAAGATGATCACTGAGGTCCCTTTTAGTTCTAAATCCTACAATCATAATAGCTGAGCCTGACTATAATGATAAGTCACTGAAATGATAG